TAGCCATGGCCGAGTTTGCAATGAACAACTCGAAAAACAGTTCCACCCAAGAAACCCCGTTCTATCTGAATTACGGGAGGCACCCAAAGAGTCCCTTAGCTCTTGGTGTGCAAATTCGGAAGCTTTTAAAGGGCTATGACAATCCGAATGCCTGCGGCTTGGCAGTAGCCATTGAAAGGGCGCAGCAGCCTTATTTGAGGCAGTCTGGTACACCCCTCGTGGAGGGATTACCAGCAGTGACACGATTTGATCACCGTGTCCAATCAGCGCTGAAAGAGGCCAGGGCGTGCTTAGAGAAAGCACGAGATAGGCAGTCAAAGCATGCTGACCGCCATCGAAGAGAGGTGTCGTTTAGTAAAGGAGACGACGTCCTCCTTTCGACACAGCATATTACTCTCAAACACCCTGGGACTCGAAAACTATTACCGAGGTGGATTGGGCCCTTCACCATCCTCGACCGGATAGGTTCTGTCGCATATCGACTAGAACTCCCGGACAGCATGCATAGGATACACCCAGTATTTCATGTATCGAAGATTAAGCCTTATAAGGCAAGTGGCAGAGTACAGCCACCCCCAGTACCTATCGAGATCGAAGGTGAACTGGAGTATGAAGTTGAACGTATCCTTGACAAAAGGATTAAAAAGCGTGGGAAACGCAAAAACTATGTTGAGTACCTTGTCAAATGGCTGGGATATGGACATGAGCATAACAGCTGGGAATCAGCAAAGTCAGTTGCAAATGCACAGGAATTGGTTCAAGCATTTGAAAATGGCAGAACACCTGTGATGCGAATGCAAACCGCATGAAGTACGGGATGTACATACTGAAACATGCTCATGTGTGCTTATGCTTTTGACAGGTTCTCTTGCGCTGGGCCCAGAAAAACACTGGGTATACTGCCCCCCGTGCAAGGTCGCAGTTTGGACACACGAACGCCATGTCCGTTGCGATCCTCAACGGGGAGAGGTTGGAGACCGCCGACCCCTACGTGCCATTTCCCCGTGCGCCTGAGCGTGCACGCGGACGTGGGCGACGGCGGGGTGCCGCACCGGGCCGATCTGTACCGGCGTGGGCTGCTGGTGGTACTCGGCATCGTGGTCGCCGATGAAAGGCCGGGAGGTCAAACATTTCCAGCCACTTGGCTGAGGAAGAGTTTTAATGAGGGTTGTGAAGGCCGGGACGGTCATGTAAAACAACCACTCTTTCTCTTCATCCAAAACTGTTTTGTGTGTTGTGTTTTGTTAACTGGGCATATGGCAAATCGCACAGCCAGTTCCACCAACATACATACAATGTTTCTGCTCCCGTATCCACTTATACTGGGACGAGGACGCCCCTCTCCCTGAGGGGGACGAATGTTACGCGCACCAGCCTGATGTGGGAGACGTCCTACTAATGGCCCTTGGTGTGGGGGACGCCCTGCCCAAGGCACGTACTATTCCTCACCCACTGTAACCTTTATCCATATTAGGATACGGGAGTAGGAGGGGTGGTCCCGCCTAGGTGCCCTGTAAGGACCTAGGTGCCCGGCGAGGCGGGTCCGCGGCTCAAAGAGGGCAGGAACCCCACACCCACATCCTATTCGTAACAGGTAAACTCTCCCCTGTCTGCCTCAGCACAGGTACGGACTGTGCGACTTCTATCCTATTGTATGAGTCAGCAAACATGCACCAGAAATGCAGCGCGACAACCCCAGAGCAAGAGGAAAGAAAATAAAAGAAATTGTACAGGGACATCCGTGGATATGTATCCTTTGAAGCCACTATAGGCTGAACACGGGCGCGCTAAAATTCATTTTTGAGTCGCTTCGAAACACGGGGGCGTCCACACAAGCAGGCTTGGCCACTACGGCACAAGCATAGTGCGTATTCACGTATTTATGTGTGAAAATCGTATGTGCTTTTTTTATGCGTAAAAACGCGTAAAAATACTGAAAATGGAGGCCCTGTGTACATAAAGACTGCACGCATGTCCACATGTCGACGATTGTTCTCAGGCCGGAAGACTCGTGTCCAATCCCCCATGCCGAGCGCCCATTTACGAACGCACACCATGGAAAAGCGACACATGGCAATTCCTTATTATCATCTAATTTGTTCGGTGGGCTGGCTGCCGTACCGAATGCAGCATTTTTGTTGGGAAATCAAGGGCCCCCCAGCCGCCCGTCCTTATCCCTCAGGACGTAACTTTGTTGTGCAGACTGTTGCAGAAGAACTGCGGCGTAAATAGGCTGCCCGATCGTCGGGAATGCGGGGGTCGGCGAAACCCGGGGCGCCCGGCTCGGCGCTCCCGGCCACCGGACCACAACACGGTCCCAGATGGCAGGGACTTGTCAGGAATGGCAGACCTGATCGCGATTCCAGGCGGAGGATGCGTGGTGGCACTCATCCCGCCGGGCTGATGGACAGAATTGGATGCGCCGGAGGCGCGGGGAACGACGTGGGCCTCACGTACAAGGGTGCGGGCGTGGATATCGACGCTGGGACCGAGCTCGTGAGGCGGATCAAGAAGATGAATCCCGACATCGGGGGGTTCAGTGGTCTGGTGCCCTTCGGTGGGTAGCGCAAAGCGGTAGAAATCACGGTGCGTGAAGGGAAAAGAAAAACGGTTGGCGGCAAGGCCGAAATGCCATGATGGACACTGTTGGGCGGGGATCGCTTAACTTGGCGCCATTTTGCGCCAGTTTTGTGGGGATATTTGTGCACAGTGGGCTTGATCCATTGTGCCGTGTTTCAGTTGTTTTGAAGTAGAAATTCGGCAGGATGGTAAAACATATTGCCAGGCAGGTATTTTATTCTGCAAAAACGAAGTGCCGCTGTTGCAGTTTTTTTTCTTTGAACTGGGCAACACTGACCCTGAAGTGTTCATCCACAATTCTGTTGATCTGAGTTGTGTTCTGTTGCATTCTTTTCCAAGACAATACCTGAAATCTCGTGAGTCATAGCACGTGCCACAGCGCTCTCCTGAGTATCCTAGCTGCTTCATGTTATGATAGGGACCACATCGTTTGCTTTTCTTTTTCTTGGACGACTCCACGGGGGTTCCAGCTGACTCTGGATGGACATGAAATGAATCATGCTATGTGTACCCTCTTTGTGCACTGAATTAAGCCTGACATCGACTTGCAGATGAACGGGCAATGTTCTGTCTTGTTTTGCGCGTTGTTACCCACAGGATTCCATTTCAGCTGTGAATAATTATAGTCAGCAGTTCATAATCCCCCTTTGTACCTGGGAAACGGGCCAGGGACGAGGGGGAGGGGAGGGAACTTAAATTAAGGCTGTTATGATGCCACGTTGAAAGAAGATGATGGAAGAAGCATGTTAAGTGTTGATGCTGGAGCCTTAGTACTGGTGTTATAATGGGATCTCCCGTACTGAGATGTCAGGCAAGAGTAGAGCATTTGGCAATGGCTGATGGCAACTTTGGTGAGTGCAGGCGACTCTTATCTTGTAGCTGGCACAGATGGAGTGGGTACAAAGCTGCGCTTGGCGTTTGAGCTCAACAACCACAGCAGCATTGGGATTGACCTCGTTGCTATGAGTGTGAATGACATCATAACAACTGGTGCACAGCCTCTCTTTTTCTTGGATTACTATGCTACAGGGGTTCTGGATGTTGATGTTGCAGAACAGGTGAGTCTTTGGGAGATGATATGCCATCAACCTTGAATTGCATGCAAGTAAATACTTGTGCACACATAAAATGCTGGTTTTGTTGTAAACGTTGCTATAGAGAGCAATGTTGCAACGAGTGCTGTTAGTGAGATTTGTTGTATTAAGTGTTGCTTGCTGTATTTCCCTGGAATTGGATTTCATGGTCACACAGTGTTGTAGCAGCTTGCAGAAATTTGCAAGGTGTAAAGCACTTGCTTGCAGATTTGCCTGCAGGACAACCTGAATTGTTTGTTGCATGATTTGGACTCTATGCATTTAAATTGTGTTGCTGATTCGAGGGCTTCTAATGGGAGAAACGCTATTTTGATGTGGCCTCATCTTTGTGCATAAAAGTTCTCCAATACCTGAAGTTGCATTCCTGTGTTGATATATCGTAACTCCCATGCTGATGTCAAACAGATATTTACCACACTTGGCAAGAAGCATCCAACCACATTGTCGCCTGCCTAAGGTCAATCTGAATTGCTCTTGTGCCCGATGGAATTGGTGTATTTTATGATAGCATATTAAGCTCATGTAGCTCATTATGATGGCATATTTCAGGCATTGAACCAGGAGGTCTGTGCATCTTTCATGATACGAATCTCACATGCTTTGTGTTCTCAGTTGTAGTTCACCCTTTTGGCTTGTTGCAGGTTGTTGCGGGCATAGTTGAGGGCTGCAGGCAGTCAGGGTGTACATTGCTTGGGGGAGAAGTGAGTGGCTGTGTGCGTTGCTGTTGCTGATTCCAATGTTCTGGGATTGTTAAGCCTGCAGATAGCCATCAGTTGCCAGGGAAGTCCCAGTGCCATAGAACAGTGCCCATGGCTAATGTGAGAAGTATTTGCAGAATTCTCTTGAGTGGTGCAGTGCGAGTATATTGTGGATAGAATTGGCTCCCAAGGGTTGCAGATCCTTTGTAGAGCGCCAGGTTCATGAGGATGACACAGGGGAAGCTGATCGACTACCCAGATGGCCTCCAAGGTTTCATTGTCTTTGTTCCTGATCATTTGAAATGAATCCTGCTGTGGAAACACGACCCAAGCTCCCTGTTGGAACAGTGTTCCACTCGCTCACCTTAATGCCAATGCACATAATGCCAATGCTAACTTATATCTCAGTTCTCAGGCATCTCCAGGTACTACTGCATTGCAGCCTAAATAGCAAAACAATGTGCAAAATTTGCACATGAGCCTCCGCATGAGCCTCCCAGCGCTATTGGCCCACAATCTCGGGTTAACTGCATTCTAGCAGATTTGCATTCTGACCAGACTATGACCTGAACCTTTCAGGCTATGTGTTGAAATATTGTCCAGCCAGCCAAATGGTGCCCTTGCAATCAACAGCACTTTGAACCAGAACATATAATCTGTACCTGCAGACTGCAGAGATGCCTGGATTCTACAAGGTGGGGGAGTACGACGTTGCTGGGTTCGCTGTTGGTGCAGTGAAGAAAGATTCTGTCATAGATGGAAAGAGCATCGTTGCAGGGGATGTCCTGCTGGGCATCGCCTCCAGTGGTGTCCATTCCAACGGATTTTCGTTGGTGAGGAAAGTGCTCGAGGTATGTTGAGTGTGTGGCAGAAGCTGTCACGGTGCAATGCTGAGCACAATGAAGCTCAGCAAATGCCTTGCAGTACAGAGTACAACAGTGCAGTGGCCGCCCCTAAAGTTTCAGCAGTCGGTATCAGGCCTAGTTCATGTGAAACCGATGTGAGATCTTGTATTTCAGGCAACCTGGTGTGCAAAGGCCAAAGTCTGATCATGCAGTGCTTTTGCCTGGGGCATTTATTGCCATGTCAAAAGATTTGGTAGGGTAGAATGCCTGCGCTTTTGTATCTGCTGCAATTGTGGCATCCAAATTTAATAGAGACGCTTCCCATGACCAGCGTGCATGTTCACGTTGCCTCGAAGGCTATATACGTTCGCCCTCCAACTACCACTTTTGTGTATGCTGATGTTGAATCAGGAGCAGTTCCTGACAGGCACCTTGTTTGATAGTGTTTGTGACGCCACTACGTTTATTTTGGATCTGGGAATTCTGCAGTAGGCAGTGGAAATGGACACAGCCTGTGATGCGAAGCATGGCATCACAACTCTGATCATTGCTTTCATCTGCACTTGCCATTAGTATTGGATGATTGAGAATGACAGCTACCGTTCAACAAATTGTACACATGGGCCTCTAGTTCCTGTTAAATGCACTTCAGGGCCATATTTGCCAGGTTTGCTCCTGTGTTTGATGTGAGCTGTTGCATTTGTGCCACTTTGAGTTCATCAGAAATGCTGCAAATCTGCCCAGGTCACCAAGACTTCCTTGTCAGATCGTGTACCTTGGGGCAAAGGGACGTTCGGCAGCTGCCTGCTGGAGCCAACAAGGATATACGTGAAAGACGTTTTGAAAATGCATGAAGCTGTGGGCCTTAAGGTGAGGGCGCAAGTGGACCTACGAAACAACCGAGCCATACGCAGCTGCAATCACACAGCCAGATCAATTGTGATCAATTATGATTGTATTCCACGCCGCCCCAGAGCAAAGCTGCGATGACAGAATTGGTGCCAGCATTCTCTACCCTGCAATCGCCCATCGGTGGTCGAATAATTCAAGAAAGACACATTTTTCGTTCCGCAACCTGTCCTGATTGCAGCTGTGCACACAGGGTGTCGTCCACATAACTGGTGGTGGTTTTCAAGAGAATCTGCCCCGTGTGATTCCCGACGGCCTGGCGTGCCGCGTGGACACTTCGTCATGGCGCGTTCCAGGCATTTTCGAATGGATGCAAAAGGTGTGTGCTATGCTGCCAGCACTTGCAGCCGATGCAGCCCGTGGCATGCACAGGGTCAGCAGAGTATTGGATGATGAGCAGTTTGGCAATGCGTTGTCTCATCTCCTGTGTCCCAGCACAACCAAAAATTGACAGAATAGGCAAGTTGCTTGCTGCATAACTGTCGTAGCCTTCACTGGTTTGTGTTTCTTTGCACCCGTCGTGCATCTTATTCCCTGGATGTTTGCATGCAATGATTTCCTCTGGTGCGTGGCGACAATGGTGTGGACGTGGACACATTGGAGACATTACAGGTTCGAAATTGCCGTGGTTATTCCGAGGCACATGCTCACGCACCAGTTCTAGAAGCCAAGATTCCGATCATGGGGCGTTTCTTTTCTTGGAATCTCAATCGTGTGCAGGAACATATGCAGCTGCTGGCGATTGGGCCTTTATTAAACGTGGTCCGTGGTCTCTGCAGAACGGCAACATTTCAGACGACGAGATGTTTCGAACTTTCAACATGGGTGTGGGCCTGGTTGCAGTTGTGGATAGAGGCAGTGTTCATGAGGCGTTGGGCCTTTCCACTGGGGCGTTTGTCCTGGGGGAAATAGTGCAGGGCAGCGGGGTTATTTTCTCATAAGAACTGGTTACATTGTTGCCTGAAGGGGGACTTGTGGGGGGTCCAGGGAAGCGATTCCACAGCCGAATTCATGCTGGCTGCATCAGTTGGGAAGGCGTTCTGTGGCACGTTGCATTCAACGCATCCCACAATAGCAAGCCACTTCATGTATCAAATCTTTCCTTTCCGAACTCCCTGGGGACGGTGTCGCAGCATCATGGAAGCGTCATCGTGGACGCCGCTCAAATGCCTTTATTGCTGCGAGTCCCTGCTTTGGCAAAAGCCGGTTCGCTGCCCCTTGTGCCACACCCACGGGCACTGTAAATGGAGCGAAGGGCTTGCAGTGCAGGGTGGGTCACGCCATCACCTCCGCCGACGGTTTGCTGCTTCGAGACCTTGTTGCTCAACGACATGGCGTCGCCGTGGAGCCACCTTGTCATTGACCACATTCTTAGTAGCCCTTGTTTGACCCGCTCTCCTGCCTCACTCTGCCTAACCACCTGTGCCCACGCTGCTGTCCGACAGCTTGGCAACCATGAGCTCCTGCTCCTGCCGCAGCTTCAAGAGCGACTGCTCCTCCACTTGCAGCCGTTCCAGCTCCTCTTGCCTCTCCGCCAGCAGCCCCCTCAGCTCCAGCTCCCTCCTGCGGCCCTCCTCCTCTGCTGCGGCCGCCTGGTCGAGCCGCAAATTCCATTGCATTTGTCAGATGCAGTCAATGACTTTGAAATTCAATGTCAGTCGAATTTCATTGAATGTCATGATGAAGTTGAGTGAAATCGAAATTTCATGATGAACTGCCAGTTCTTCAAGAACAGCTTTTCAAGTAAACTGGTGCAACAGAGTAATGTAAAGTGGCCAAGTCTTGTACCACCTTTCCTCGAACAATGTTCTCTTGCATGGGCCACGCAGCAACGAGGCGACGGAGCGGACTCGTGAACATGCTGAAACATTTCAACGTTTCAAGGTGTATTCCAAGATTATTTTGTATCTAGGCAGGCAGGCAGCCGTCACACCCAAATGCACACATGGAAACGAAGTCCCAGAACAGCGCTTTCATGATAAATCCACCTCAATCCACACATGAATGAATTGCCGAATCAAGCAATCAGTGCATCAAGCAATTCACGTGAGCGGGCGAGGAGTGCAGCCGCAACTCCTTTTGATGAAGGCATGGAGTGCCAATGAATACTACAGTATACAAGACGAATTACACAACAGGCACTGACCAGCCTCGCTGTTTCCGAGGATCAAACTGAAGGTCCTGCGCATTGAGGCACTCAGAGTTCGCAGCTCGAATACGATGATTCTAAAATAGTTACAAGACATCTAAACAAAAACATTATATAAATGCTGAAACAGAACCAAACCCAGATCCACAGTGCGGGCACCTGGTTGCGCAGCCCGATGGCTGCGAGCTTCTCGGCTTCGATGCGCTCTGCCCGCTGCTCCACAGCCGCCAGGTATCGATTGGACAGCTCCTGCAGTCTGTCCACCCTGCCCACGAAATTTTCGCAGTGCGTCTGCAACGACTTGGAGGCGGAAAGGCGCTCCAGGTCCAGCACGCGGATGCGGTACTCGTCGTCGAAAAAGATGGCAGGGGCGTCCTCGCTCGCCATGTGGCCTCCGGGGCTTGGAGCTCCGCTGTCCGAGGAGCCCGGCTTGAGCGGGATTGGGGTCCTATGGCAGGAGTGTGGTTGCTGTGCCGGGAAAAGACGGCGGTGAGCGGAGGTGGAGCTGCGCCTGGCTCGTGGGTCGGCTGTGCGAGGGATCTGGAATTAGGATTGTGGCGGGCGCACCGGTGGCACAGAGAGCGTGGTGAGCTTGCGGACTGGCAGTGGCGTCAGGGTGGGGGTGCCCCTTGACTGGTGGAGCGCAGATGCGGCTCAGTCTCTTCTTGGGACAGCAGTGGCAGGACAGGTTTCGTGCATGTGTCAGTCGTCATTCTTTTCTCAGTGGTTGGGTGAAGCGCAGAATTATCTTGGACATTCATCGAGCAAAACATGCGCATTGTTTTGCCCAGGCGAAATAGTGAGCTGAGGGCCATTCCTTGCCTTGATACGCGAGTTCTTGATAATGGCAGTGCTGGACAATTTCGGCTGGACCGCATCGTCCAAGGCATGTCACTGCCTCTCCCATTTCCTGCGATGGTCATATTTATATTCCTTTTCCATTTTCACATCCATTATTCCGTGTTCAGCAGATCGATTCATGACCAAAGCAATGAGATATGGTCAGCCAAATCAGTGTGACCTCAAGCGTGACCCCTAATTGACGGGTCCCCCCATTGGTTGACGCAGAGGCGAGGGAGTGGCCTATCCGCTGCAAACCACACAGGGTTTGGATGGCCTGGGACACCATTCAGTGGGACAGAAGTTACTGTTGGCTGTGTCAATCAAGATTGGGTGTGTACTAGCCTGTCCACTCGTGGGCCCCCAATTGCATTGCGGCAGCAGCAATACTGGGTATCCTGGCGGCGCATATTACAGAGATTCACGGTCGGAACGGCATGCCAACTCTGCATGATGAACGAATGGCTACAACTGGTCTGTTATAATGTACAGTATGCGCAAGGCAGCCACACAAAATGGAGACAGTGCAAACAGAAACACCACCTGTGACAAAGAACGAAGACCATCGTGAGGTATTTCCATTAAACGTGAGGTTCACACGAAATGCAGATCAAAGATCCATGAACGCGCACATAAAACCACGTCTCTGCCACACCTCCGTCACCCAATCCGCAACATACATGGCCAGGATACGCCAATCCATGCAAACACCCGCAGCCTGATGCTGCAGCAACAACAATCAAAACCCACTCATGTTCCCTCCAAGCTGGCCAACCCTGAAACCGCAACATGCTTCTGGCTCATCCTTCCTGTCAGCACACAGATGGATACGCAACCCACATTTACAGGTGCAATCGATGACGCCCCATTTCCTCCAATCAACTCCAACAGCACGGAAGTTTTGCGCCAATCCCTACACATATAAAAAGACACATCTACAGAGAGCAATCGTTGTTTAACCCCTCTTTCATTTGTTTTTCAGCTTCCATTCTTTAAGCGGCTTTCCCCAAAATTTCGTCTGCTGCCATCGCAAACAGCATATCGCCGCTGTGCCACCAGCCAAGTCCCCAAAAGCTATCGACCATACTGCACCAGCCGCCTTGAAATGCCCCACCTGGCCAAGTACTCCACAAAAAAGACCATTACACAGGAGATTGCGAAAGACGTCAGCGCCATCAGCGGCGGTGGAGCCTCCGCAGCAGCTGTCTGCCCAACCGTCCCCACAAGAACCAGAAGGCCAACCTCCAGCCCTCCAAGAATCAAAGTCTTCAGAGGACTGACCTGCACATGCAACACTTTCACTGAGGGTCGCCACCACTGTGCACCAAAAAGGCAAACGCCTTAACCTTGTCAAGAGTGAGAAACCCAAGGCTGTACGCTGTGCAGCCACTAGAACAGATGGCGGCACACATGCTGCAACGTATTTTGAGCTTAGTGGTGGAATCTGCACTCATTTATCATGCATTTGCGCCTGCTGTCAATGACAGCGGATTAATAGCCCTCCTGGAGCAACCACCGTTGATGAGGTTGCCCGCAGTCGCCTTGAAGGTGCAGGGTTTGCTAGCTGTACAGTATGCTTGAATAAAAAGACTGACTGCTCGAGTCTTCGGATTCAAGGGATGGAGCTGCTCTCACCTGGTAGCAAAGAGGGTATTGTATCGCCTGGCTGAACACTTGTGCAGCTCGCATGGCTACCTCCAATCCCTGGAACGTCACGCAAACGAGATCGTGAGCACGGACGCTATGGCTGTGGTGGCCAGACAAACAGCCAAACGGACCTGCCTGTGTGCGTGCATGAAGGCAAGTAAGTTCGCTGATGCCGATGGTACCCTTTTAATGCTCATTCAGATCAGGCTTCTATGCTTGCAGTCTCACTGCTCAAGCACGGCAAGGCGCCACTGCAACGCAAAGTTCTATCCACATATATTATCAGCCCGTGTAGTTTTCTGGCACTACCAGGTTGGAGGGGAGCTAAAATTACGCAACATATTTGGCAACGTATCCTCAGTAAGCATCCCTTCTGGATGACCCTAGCACGCTGAGGCTTTCTGCAAAATAATCCCAGACTGGAATGCACAAGCCGCCATGAATATGTGCTGTGGATTCCATCAATAAGTCATTGCCAGCAGATTCGTGACACACGCTCCTGACCATTCCAGTTACTTTTGAGCTTCAAGACGGCACAGGACAACGGCACAGGACAACAGACTGATAGCTGGGTACGCCACATACCTCACAATTTCCAGCGTTTCCAAGGATGAGAGGAAAGGCGAAGGCTTCCAACAGCACTTGCCATCCTCTGGCGTGCGCCGCTCTCCCAGGTAACACAGTGGCTGGCCTCAGCAGCCCCAGGATGGCCATCACCATTGCCAGCAGCCTGAAGATTCGGACAATTACTGACACCCTCTCATTGAACCACTCGCAGCAGGGCCAGAACACAACAATGGGCACCCAGGGCACAAGCAGCCTAATCATGCTGTGCAATATGCAATTTTTCTGCTGGTCGTTAAAGTCCCACGCCCTCCAAACGAAGATGGAGCAACAGATCAGCTGGAAGAGCAGCAACGCGGCATGGACCACAGGCTGCTTGTTCTGAATGAATGCGGGACTGTACGTTCCAGGGGGGCAGCATATTGTGACCCCACCCTTGGCCTCTGCGGCTTTGGCAACTTGTTTCGCTGGAGTACCCAAACTGTGCTGAGAGGAAGGCAAAGCCTCAATCTCACTGCCACTCACATCTGCAGGATCGCGACCACAAGCTGCATGCCTGCGGGTTACCCCATTAGATGAATCCCCTGTGGAATTTGAGACATCGTCAGCTCTGGCGTCTGAAGACCATTCTTCATCTTCGAGACCGGGCAGTCCATTTGGCCTCTCCCTCCTGAATGTGTCGCTGTTTGAGTCCTCTGATGTTTCTGTCTCCCCAGCCTGAGCTCCTCCTGCTGTGCCGACAATGTTGCCGATCGCCAAGGCACCCACAGCCCCGCACCCCGAGTCCATCAGTTTGGGGACGCGCTCAGTGCTGGCTGCATCTTGCGGTTTGCCAATGACGAAAAATCTGAAGACAAATTGTATGCAGCCTTCGATGCAGGTCAAGTGGCAGTGAACAGTGGAGCCCTGGAGGCCCCTGTGTACGTGTTCCTCTGTCCCGCTGGTGGCCATCATCTCAGACAGGCTCCCCAAGAGCTCAGTGGTACATTCGGCATCCAATGACTGCGAGTGCATCTGCAGGGACAGAACATACCCTTCAACGGAATTAACATCTTTAGCTATGTTGTCAGCCAGAATCAATAGACACAACAAGATTCTTCGAGTTCTCCAATCAACAGAATTGCAGACTCAGCACACTGCCTGCATTTCTTAATTGACGCTGCGTTTCATATTTCGCAGTGCACTTGGGTGCTAAATGCACAACCTAAACACCTTCACAGAGGTTGTGGGTCTTCTGAAATAACCTAAATGCAAGGCCATGTATTACAAATTGCCTGAAAGGCATAAGCACTGGAAATATTACACATGATGATGTTGCTGTGATCTATTCCACATACTGCATCACTTTTCAGCGTCCAGGCATCACCCCTGTCATAGCAAAAGACATAGACCTTCTGCCATCTGTTGCCAAAAATCATTTGGAGGGCCATCAAACATCCAGCATCATGTCATTGTTCCCTTCACAACACGTCCAGTGGTTCACACACACAGTAAGATGTTCAAAAGAAGTGAGCATCTGTATCAAGTCCACAGCAGATAAGTTTGGCACTCCAGGGTTATTGGTGCCTTAGTAGATCACATACAAGCATGAGCCACATGGTTTCCGCACATCAACATCAAGAGCCACGCACGAAGTCGGAACTGGCACAGCGCCTTTTTGTTGCAATCAGCAGCCACCCACCTTGATACTCATTCCCTGGACGGTCGCCATGGGACTGTACAGCATGCTGCCATTGTCTCCCCCCTTGCAGCGACACTTCTCAAACATGGATGACAAGTCGAAGTTCAAGTTCAGCACTCCATCGCTGTTGAAACTGAACACCTGTTCCGTCTTCCCATCTGCGCGCAGAGGATGTTGGCGGCAGTCTGTGGATATTAGCTTCGCATCGCTGTCCTTGTTGGAGAGGTCGAACAGCACTTGCTTGTTGGCCTGAGCGCCTGGCGGCACGGTCCCGACGTTGGCTGGCTTCTCATCCTGATGCTCTGCCATATTGGCAGGTTACCCAAAGTACTGCTGACCACCTTCGCTCGCCAGACTGCACAGCACTGTTCTGCACAGCTCCCTTGAACCCTGCTGCTGCCTGGTGTCCCACAGCACATATTTTTGCATGTCAATCTGAGACGGGAATGGATACATGCACGGAGACGACAATGAAACTGTGAAATTTGTGACAGCTTTCAATTTGGCATCGTAGTGGCCTTCCTGGACTGGTATAATGGTGAGGGATCCATCCAACACCGTGTGCCACGCACACAAGGTGAGTCAGCAGTGTTGTCCATCCTTCTGAACAGTATCAGCTGAGAGCAGAAGCTAGTGCACCATGATCTGTATCTAGGAATCTGCCTGAGCAGTGGTAAAGGTTCGAAGGGATTTTCATCGTCCACATGCGATGTGCACTGGGGGGGGCTGCAGATGTTGCCAAAACAACGAAATCTGCTTGTGCTCAGGCGGCCAAGCTCACTGCAGGTCTTTGATTTCCTTTCATGCGCATTCCAATGAGTACACCAGCCAAGACAACAGGTGAAAGTCAATAGGCCAACAATGGATTCCGCCAAGACGAACGCGTTTGCCAGGCCCTTGCCAGATCTGCAAAGACTCAGGACGGGACTTGGCAGCATTAACAAGACAAATTAGCCTCGGGGAGCGGCAACGGTTATCAAGAGTTCATAACGTGGCAGACTCAGTTAACAAGGAGACCTTCGGGAACGCTTTTCTCTCAACAAGTGTGCGTTAGGCACGCCTGTTGCAGTCACCACCAGTTGTGACCAGTCCGGCACACCCTTCCCACAGCTGTCCGCGGCTACTGGAGCGGTGGCGCCCGAAACGAACGGGTGCGAGCCGGACACGGGCCCGTCGGCCTGCGCTGCGAGTTCCAAAGCCACAGCAGTGTCCACGGCTCCGACGCAAGCGGACGCCGCAACGCGCCCAAACGCACACTGGCAGCCACCTTGTCTCCAGACTCAGTCTGCAAGGCTGCCCGGCGGCTACCACGAGACTCGCTTCACGACCCCTCGAGCGTCGCGTTCCGCGGCAACCGCGGATGCCTGACGGGCAGAGGCGTCAATGCAGCGGTCCACGCATCCACCATTCTTGCCCACTGCTCAGGAAGGGATTGACATTCAGAGGTGGAACCCGACCCGACAACACTCTCAAGGGCCATTCGCCGACGCAGGGCCACCAGACGACCCGCTGACTGTCGGCAATTCGTCGCACACAACTCCGCGGCGCGCACGCGGCTTCGCGCTCAAACAACCCTCCGGCAACTCCCTTTCGCCTGGCAAGCAACCCGCCCACCGCGGCTGGCACCGATCGCCATCCCGCCACTCCAGCCCGGGCGATGTGCATCGCCCTTCTGGCCGCGCAAGTGGCGGTCTGCCAGCCTCGCGACGAAGCGCGGGCCCATGCACACGCGCAGGCCGCCGCGACCGCTGCGGACACCCGGCGCTAGGTCACGGTTCGATTTGCTCGCTGCGGCGCCAAAGAGCTTACGGCGTTGGAGCCGAATGGCTGCGCCCGCGCTGCGGCCTCCTGCGCCCTGGCCGCCTCAGGAACCCTGTCTCCGGGCGTGGTGCACAGGAATCCCCTTGCCTCGACGCGGGGGTGGCGCGCATTTTCGATGCTCCGCTCGGGGCATATAGGCAAGGATAAGGGCGGGGCGGATATGGCCACGTCAGCACGCATCGTCACAATCGCGTCGGCTGCCGACGAAGGGGTGGCGCCTTGTTCGAGATGCAGCTTCGCAACTTGGGGCGCAGGGAAAGACGGCGGAACCGGCCCAACAGAGTGGAGAAATGAACATTCAACAAATAAACGTCATTTGTCACATTACGCACAATCGGTCGACTGGAAATCGTCCGCCGACGAATGTGTTTGGGCACCTGGGAAGCATTGAATGCCAATGTCACAGTTTTAGTGGTCTTCTCTTCCTGCCTATCCCCAACCCATCCCAACCTCTCAAAAGCCCAGGCCGCTCGCCACGAAGCCTCAAGAAAGGAAAAGAGAATCACACGATGACCGAGTCCAGCAAAGGAGCATTCAAGACTGCTTGTCAACACGGTCTGCGAGTTGATTTTCTCCATGTGCACATGCGAAAGCCCCTGTGCCCACTGTTCCCGCAATTGCTGTTGACCGGAACGGGGCGGTGTCCAAAATCGCCTTGCGACTTGATGCCTCCATTCCTCGGCGACGCCACATTGACGACGGACGTGAAGATAAGGGCGCCGAAGCGCGTGGACGCGCCGATGTTTCTGCTCCAATTTGGCACAATGAGCAGTATAAAGAGGTACCGTTCCCGCAATGTGATTCGCATAATTTAAGACCACTGGGCTGAAAATCGAAAGCTTCACAAGATTCCACCTGTCTCAATTCAACCAGATTCCAGCTCTGGACCCCGGGGGTAAGGCAGCGAATGGAATAAAAAGTTGTCGAGCACTGGAATGATACCGCAGCCCCTCCCTCCTTCCAGCGAGCGGGCACTGATCTCTGCAGCATCTTGTTTCTGCTTGTGAGTCGCAATTGTGAATTATCCGGCATCACGCATCTGCAATGACGAAGTTACAGCATTCCCTCCAGTCCTGAGGAACCCGATCAGAGGTGGTCGCAAAGGGAAGACGCCGAACACTGGAAGCGCCGACACACGTGCGCTGCCAATTGCGTCATCGCCTGCACTCTTTGAACAGCTGACGGGTCACCCAGCACTTGCGCTGCTAAGCAAGGTCTGCAGCAACTTCCCAAGGCCGCCGGCGTTGCTTACGGCATGTAGCGGGAGCCTCCACAGGGCTAGCGGACAAAGGCCCCTTGACCGATTCGCGCCATCCGCTGCTTGTGCCCCACCCTCCCCATTGACCCGGTCCACCTGTCCTCGCCGCCACCCCCCATCACGAACAAGCTTGTCGCTTCCTCCATATACTTGCAAAGTCGACGTGATGGAGGGCTCGCCAGGCAGCAGCAACATTCAGATCTATCTAAGGGTTCGGCCATCGGAATCGCCCAGTCCCTGGTGCAAGGTGGACGACGATGAGTCCTTGGTGGAATTTGTGCTGCCGAGAGATGAGGCGCAGGGGTGAGTGGGCGATTGCAAAGGTTGAAATCGTGTTGGGAGTGAGAAGTGCTGGTTGAGAGCCAGTCTGTGCACATCCCAGGTACGTGAACAACCAGAGGGAAAGGTACCACTTCAAATTCAATGGGATGCTCGGAGAGGATGCGAAGCAGGATCGGGTTAGTGTGGAAACTGTGGCAGCGTCAAAAACCTGAAATCAGGAGTCCAGTCCACAGATCTGCCCCTAATGTTGAAGCAAACAATCATGAGTGCTGAACGAAGATTCATCATTTGCGATTTCTAAATATTCAATTTCGTAATGTGTTTGGCGCACGAAGAGGCAGTTTTATTTCCAATGACATCTTTGAGGTGAGTCAGCCTTGATTCCACTCAGATGCGCATATGCACGCGTTGCTTGCAATGATAATGACACATCATGGCAGAGCAGAAGGTCGAACATATCCCCACCAGTTGCCCAGCATACGCAGAGTATGTCAGATTTTTCGCTCAATGGGACTCGTGCAGATCTGTGAAATCACTCTCATCCATTGTGCGCCTCCCATCAAAATGCTCACGCCATTCACAGCGATTCGCAGGTATTTGATGTGGTGGCCAAGGATGTTGTATTGGGAGCTCTCGAGGGCGTGAACGGTACTATCTTCGCATATGGCCAGACAGGGTCTGGAAAGACGTTCACCATCACCGGTGGGCCAGACAGATATTCTGAGAGGGGTCTCATCCCGCGCTCAATTTCGCTTATTTTTGGCGAAGCTGAGAAACGCAGCGACCACACCTTCCTGGTATGCGGTGGAATACTCTGTGCCGCCTGGCACTTGCCCTTGTATTCTTCATATTGTTTTAGAATAATTTAACCACAAAAAAAACGGTCAAAATATTATTTTCTGTGAATATAAACCACAAAATTTCAACGAGCATAGACTCTGTAGGATCCAGCATTCAAGAAATTTACGTGCCTCACGCACATTAACATGGCGAAGCGTGCGTTGCACTATTTGAAGCTACAGGCTCAGCGCATACCTGATTTCCTTCTCATGGGTTGTATCACGTAACATTCGTAATCCAGTTCAATTTATAATTCAGACAAACGCTATACATTTTATCTCTATTGAGATTTTTTAAAGCAAAAGTAACACGTGACATGGCCTGTGCAGAAGACTGCACTCAGACGCCATATGAATACGCTGTAGCAATAATATCAATGACAGAAGCGGTCGCTTCACTGAAGTTAATAAGCATCAATACATTAATCCCATCGTTTCCTTATGCAGAAAAACGGCTAAACACCATCGCATAGAAGCAAAACAATAGCCAGACCTGGCTGACGCAACCAGGACACTGATGCAGTAAAACGACCAAACAATTTCATCCACGCCGACTTAACCGTGATCAATGTTTTTCATTGCTTCGTGTGCCAGATCCACATTTCGTACTCAGAAATCTACAACGACGCCATATATGACCTGCTGGATCCTGACCGTGAGGTGGAGGATTTGGAAGATCTTCCCCGGGTGCGGGTGAGGGAGGACGAAGAAGGGAACGTGGTCATGCAAAATCTGAGGACATGCAGAGCCAGCAACGAGGAGGACGCCTTAGCACTGGTAAGGACGACGACAATGAGGATGAAAGGGGTTCATCGGCAGGGCACCCCCACAATCAATTCAGCAGCATTCCTTGCGGGTCTCTGGCAGTTGTTCGCCGCTGACTCCCAGCTCATGCAGTTGCGAGTGCCAAAGCCCTCTCACAGCTTTCAGCCTTGCAGTTACCCTGCCATAACCCGTTGCAGCCGCACTGAAATTAAGCCTTCAACGGTCATGCCACACAGCCGCAGCCGGTGAGCCTGCCTCGCCTATCAGCAATTGTTCATCTTGGAATGGCATCCGCGGGATGAGCCCCGATTTTGTTGGGCCCATGTTGCCGATCCTGTGATCGTTGGCTTGCTCATGCGCACATATTAACTGGATTGTGTTGCGCGACTTATCAGGGTTCCCGGTCCGAAATTTGATTTTTTTGTTCTGTGGGGGCCGCGCAGTTGTTTCTTGGCGATACAAACAGAACGATCAGCGAAACTCCCATGAACATGGCCTCCAGCCGTTCTCACTGCATATTCAGCGTCATCGTCGAGGCCAGGAAGGTGAGAGGCAATGAGAGGAACAAACGCGGTCCACATCAGGTTGTTGAAATCTTTCATCGACATTTGACAATTGACATTCGCAATCGTATCCTCCGGTGGCAGCATCATGATTGCAGCCTGCAATGCAACAAATCGAAATCCGCGTGTGCGCCACCTACGTCGGTGCAAGCAACTAAAGGAAACAGGCAGCCTGCAAACGAAGTGCAGCACACCCGCCTAGCAGTTATTCGAATGTTCGATGCCATATTTGGATGGTTGAAACCAAGGCTGTGTTGCGGGAAATCAACAGCAATGGTATTTCGCGGATCGGGCTACGAAGAGCTCCCGTTCGCAGCGACATTTTTGGTGTCTTCATTTGTGCGTATTCACCTGACGACAACTTCTCAACTCGGATGCAGGCAGATTGGCGAAGACGTGGTGAGGAGGTCAAAATTGAACCTGGTGGACCTGGCAGGATCAGAAAGAGTGAAGAAAATGGGAATTGATGGAAACACCCTGGTTGAGGCCAGGTACATCAACCTTTCCCTGCACTTTCTGGAGCAAGTCATTGTGGCCCTGCAGGTCAGAATAATGCACCGCAGTGCACTGTCAAAATAATTGCGCCTGGCTACCGCCTATTCAACAACTCGCCAGCTGCTGCCACTCAACCCTAAGCTGAGAAAAACCCGCATGAAGGAAACCGTATTCACATCATAAGTTTCTCCACATTGCTCAATGACCTGCGTCTCTAATTTTCCCAGGCATGGCGTTGCAAGGATGAATGGAGAACGGTGGCCTTAAATTGGCTGCACTCCCACACATTTCCGCACATCGTGCAACCTGTGGCGTACTTTCAACAACACGCGCCATTTCTCTCAGAAGGTGATGCAGCGGAACGTGTTTTGCCATTTTCAGGAACGCAGCATCGGTCACAGCAGGCCCCATGTGCCCTACCGCAACTCCGCCATGACGCTCGTGCTGAAAGACTCGCTTGGTGGAAACTGCAGAACATCAATGATTGCAAACATCACCTTCGAACAGATGCACGTCGACGAGTCCATTTCCACATGCAAATTCGCCCAGCGGGTGGCCATGATTGCCAACGAGGTGAGACCACCATGGATTTGAAAAGTGCTACCGCCTTTTTACATGCATAGCATGCAAAGCCTGATCGCTAGCAGCATGTGTCATGAGTGCTCTGCGCTGGTTCTCGGGTAAAAGTTCAGTCGTGCCAATTCACGGTGGTCTGGTCCCCGCTGTATCCCTGCTGTGGCCATGGAGGCGCACGGTCGATCGCTGATCACAGCCTTCGATATGGCTGCGCGTGCAACAGAAATGCCATGGACAGTGACGAACAATGGCACCAAAACCGCGGCCGGGGCTGTGGAACTCGACCCCATTTGATGCGGTGGGATAGTGGTAAAGGACTCTGAGCGCTTTTGCATGGTGCACAATCGTAACAATACGTTTCTCAAGAGCAATCTTGGGCCACCTTTTCCGCCGTTCGTCTTCAATTCTTGCGCCTGGTTCACTCCAAACTTTGCTTCACACCCTTGACGCCGGTGGGGACGAGGCAATTGGCTTGAGTACTCCACATATCCCAGGAGCTAACAGCACTATCCGGCGTCCTCATCTGCAGGTGGTCGTCAACGAAGAGCTAGATCCGCAGCTGGTGATCAAGAGACTGAAGAAAGAAGTGCATGACCTGAAAGAGGACCTCCGCATGTTGAAGGGTGAAGAGGCGGATCGCGGCCCTCTCACGGAAGAGGAGCGCGAACGCTTGGGCAAAGATGTGGCTGAGTATTGCGCAGATACCTCGCCCGAGGCGACCCTTACCATCACGGGCGGCATGCTCTTTGTCAATGCTGGTGAGTACATGGGAGAATTGGGCAAGCAAGTCCGCCAACCTGGGAGTTCTCATGCCCAATTACATGCCACCCAGCATCGCTGCCTGTCCCAATTAAAATACCAGAATTTCAATGAGTACAGGACACCTTTGAAATATTCTCGTCGCACAACTCCCAATGTAACAAAACACCTTCAAGGCACTCATTTCCAACGCCAGTAGCTGTGCAATGTATATGTAGTAGTTTTCGTGCTTTCAGGGAACCTTTGGGGTTTGAATCAATCAGCGCAATCGAACAGCGCCCTCCGACATAGAGCTGAGGGCGCGAAACACTCACCTCGCGAATTGTAAGTTGATGATGTTGCATGGCGTGTTTGTCAGCGATCGAGATCATGAAAGAAATGATTCGGTGTAATGGGGGCAATGCGGGCAAGAAAGGTGGGGTCTTTGCTAAGTGCGACAAGGATGTGCAAGAATACATCCAGAAACTCCGGCTTCAGATTGAGCAACGAGACAATGAAATCAATGTATTGGTCGCCCTATTGCAAAAGGAGAAGGGAAACAGGTCAGCCACTGCGATAGCATTCCCAACAACCTTAAACGCTAACGTGACCACAGCGCAAATGGTAAAGGCATATCAATTGCATTTTCTACATGGACGCCTGCATGCACAGGGATGATGTGCAGCAAAACATAACGATTACTTTAGGCTTGAGAAGTGAGTAATGCTCTATCAGGCTCCCATTGATCTAGGACATATCAGCTTTGCGGCTGCCACTTTTTCTTTCTGTGATTTGTAGCATTCTCTTTCACCACGTGCAGCGAAGCGAGTTGCCCTTATTGCTTCCATTAGCAGCCAAATCATCTCCGGAACAACTTCCCGTCTTCAACGGAGCAACATGCGCATGGATATAAGCAACTACCTTTTGAATGTGCAATGGCAAAAATTTTGCACTCTAATTCGTAAATATGTCCTTGCTTCACTAAGAATTGGGGAGGCCACGTTTTCGGACAACAGCAAGCAACCCCAGCCTGTCAACGAGCCGAAGCAGCCAAAGGCTGACATGAACACAGCAGCCAACGGTGGTGCCAGCCAGTCGAACAAGGACCATGCAGATCTGACCAACGTGGATGCTCTCGTCGATCGAAACAAATCGGTGCGTCCACCAAACGAGATCATCGTTTCAATCTGTCGTTCATCGCACAAGAGTGACACATTCCTCGCAGCAAAAGTATTAGCAGGCTGTGGAAATGGTGAAACACAGCAAAGCCCGTACCTGTCCCAGATCGTTGGAATAGAGTCTGGGGAAGGTCACACTGCATGCTGATCTGCAGACTTCCTAGCTGTTGCACCTGATGTGGTGCCGGTTTGTTTGCAGTTTGAGCTGTTTCGAAAGAGCTACAGGAGAAATCAAGCAATTGAAGACAACAAAACGACCCTGAGGGACAAGTACGAAGCTGCGAAGGCAAAAGGAAAACAACTGAATGAAGCAAAGGAGAAGATCAACCAGTTGAAGGCGATGATTGAACAGATCCGCATTAAGAGATCTGTGGCCCGCATCGTCGATCGTTCGATGGAGGATGAGCCAATCGAGACAGATCCAGAGGAGATAAAGGCCAAGGCTGCTCTGGAAAAGGTATACCTCTCTTGAGCACTAGCACTGGGGATGCTCACCTGCAAGTCTTTGTACCACAGAATGTAGTATTTCAGACAGAATGCACCCTCCACTAGTGTACGCACATGTACAGACATTTGTACTCATTTGTACAGGCATAGCAGCATATACTCTGTGTGCACTGACACGCCACTGATATCACGTCACTGAGTCAACGGTGTACTCAAGCACAATTTGAAAGAAGTACCTGAAGGTCGCATGACCCCAAGATGAAATTTACTGGCAAATGCTTCACACCCCAGTTGCCTTAACCTGGTCTTGCCTCAATGACAATGTCCTAAACAAATCAAAGCCCATGTGCTTGTCGTATGAGGGTAGCACCAAATGTTGCACAGGGAGTGTGCACAGTCGACCTTGAGGATGGATTCTGCCATGCCTGGGCCCACGCTATAACTATGCTGAGTGCATTGCTCCTATGCAGCATGTAGCTTGCGTTCCAAGCCTGGGTTCCAATGCTTAGGCACACATCTGCTCCAAATTTGGTTCAATCTGAACACCATGCTGTGTCTTTTTGCTTCAGGAGAAATCCAAGTACAAAGAGGCCTTCTATGCGCTGCGCGAGCTCAAGAAGGAGATCGAGCACTTGCAAATGCTGCTTGAGCAAAGTAGAGTCAGGCTACAGGTGCGAAACACAGAGTCCAACAGGACTCAGCTGGTGGAGCACCTCATAGGACTCCTGGGGGCTTGTGTGAATAGCTTTACTCCCACCAACCTGGCAGCTTCTGGAGCGCCCCCCGTGATGACTCCTTGAAACCCAGTAGCAGACGTGAAACCCAGTAGCAGATGTTATGCCACAGCCAACCGAACTGGGAACTATGGACAACTGAGGATCTTTTCTTGCCATTCATTCCAACGTGATATCTTGCTGAGCAGCAAAAATAACAACCACATGAATAAGATCTAGTCCAACAACCATTCATCCCAATGTTGCGCCCTGCAGAAAGACTTCGAGCTTTGGTTGCGGTTGACGGCAAGGCAGCAGCAGGAGAGCCGTGTGCTCCATCCCCATGATGACAACTCGGCAGCAGATGCTGAGCCCAGCACAGCCCTGAGCGTCGATTGCAGTCAACAAACTAACACCAATGCACAACGCAAAGTTGCGTGGGCAGAAAATGAGCGCCCAGGCGCAACACAGGACAGCCAAAAAAACGCTTTGGGCATCTCAAATGCCTATCTTCAGCATCTAGGCCTCTCAGATGTCGACTTAAAGGCAGTAGAGGCTGCAAGGCCATTCCTGACAGGAAATTCTGAAGCGGACAGGGATATCATAAAGTTCTACGAAGCAAGGGCCAAGCTCCTGAAGGCTTATCCTCAATAGCTCTGCTAATCACCGTTCTTTATAGTAGTGGGCAGTCAGTGAGGCATCAGGAACTTCCACTAGACATCTGGCGCGATTTCAGCAGGTAAACTGTCCCGTTGGCTGAATATCGCCACCAGTGCAGCAGTGAAAGTGGTAGATGGGAAGGTCGTGCTGTGTGTATATATACTATTGGGCAAGTATCAAGATCCTTACTTTAGAGCTGACCGCAACCGGTTCTACGATTCTTTCAAAGCTGGACCATTTTTGAAACTAACTTTTGAACCCACAGTCTGGCCCTCTCTTGGTGCTAATTCTGCACTCGCGCGCCTTGTTCCAGCAGCTGGTGACGACCCAAAGCAGGGACGTCGACAGTCAAAGTCCACAAAGGCTGCGCATCAAAAATCCGAGCGCAACCTCAAGGGCGGCTGAAAGTTGCCCTTAATGCGGCCCCCAAAGGTTGTTAGCAATCAGAAGCGTCCAGATCATTGTGCATAGGTGCTGTCGCCAATGATCTGGGACGGTTGGGCGCACAGCGCGAGTTCATCACCCATTTCATGGCTCCTCAGGCGTGGGCAAGGGGGTTCATCGACGGCTGTTGCGCCGGAAGCAGCAGCGCAGGGCCAGCCAAAACAAACGCTCATTCTTCCCATCGCACGCCTCCAAGTACCCAGCCTCCACCTTTTCGCGTCGACCCCAGACACACTCGGCAACGCGCTTCAGCCAACACTCGAGCTCCTCTTGGACACTGTGGGCTGGGGCTGCTATTGGCCAGAGGCCGGAAGCTCTGCGGGGTACGGGGCCTCATTACCAAGAGCCTCAGCCCAGTCTTGCTATCACATCGAGACGCGCACATTCATGCGCACAGACAAGTGCTCTGATTTTCTGCGTCAGCGACGTCGCGGAGACTGTTGGGTGGAAGGCTACTTAAGGGGTGGGACTGCCCTCTTCCTGCCCCTTGTCCGGGTGGTTGAGTGGGGCAGTGGGACGTCCCACCAGCCAGTTATACCCGGTTTGGTCCCGCCCAGACACACCCTCTTCACCATCCGCACTAAATCAAAGACCTATTTGCCTTAGTTCAGGTGGCAAAAGGAGATATATTTCCCCAGTACCAAAAACGGCTGCTTCCAGTACCAAATTTCAGCCAGTACCAAAAGTGAATGCTCCCAGTACCAAATCCGCCCCAGTACCAAAAACGGCTGCTCCCAGTACCAAATATAGCTGCGCCCAGTACCAAACTGACGACAGCTATGTCGAGGACGGGGCTGTGGAGCAACAGGCGGCAGGGCACCCAGGCCTATTCCCAGCGACGCCCCAACGGAGAACAACGGAGCCGCGCCCCCCGTGCCCCCCCCTGCGAAAACGGCCAAGTCGTGGGAGTGGGGACTGGCGCCTACCCTCCGCAGTTCCGCTTGGAACGGGGGGCGAACGCCAAGGGTGGACTGCGGTCTCCACGGGGCCCAAAAGGTGGCCACAAAACATGCCACAAAACGGCAGGAGTGGGAGGTCGAAAGTTGCCTCCACTCCCGCCATTCTTGTCCCTCGTAGCCACCAATTGGTGCCACCCGCAGGTGCCCAGATTGGCACCCGCGAGTGGCACCATTCGGCGCCCACAGGGGCCGAACCCCAAGGGTGGACTGTAGCCTCCGCGGGGCCCAAAGCGTGGCCACAAAGCACGCCACAAAACGGCAGGAGTGGGAGGTCGAAAGTTGTCTCCCACTCCACCATTCTCGCCCCTCCTGGCCACCGATTGGTGCCACCCGCGGGTGCCCCGATTGGACCCGCGAGTGGCACCAGTCCGCGCCCACAGGGGGCAAACGCCAAGGGCGGACTGTGGCCCCCGCGGTGCCCAACGAATGGCCACAAACAAACGCCACGAAACGGCAGGAGTGGGAGGCCGAACGTGGCTACTCACTCCCACCATTCTCGCCCCTCCTTGCCACCGATTGGTGCCACCCGTGGGTGCCAATCGGGTTATCGCGGCTGGCAACATTCGTCACCTATAAAGCGCCCAAGCGGAAAGCACGCTTCGCCGCGCATACAGCGAGATCCGCTGCAGATCTTGAACCTCCCCCGGCCTCCTGGGGAGGCCCGCTGCCCCAGCCCTTCTGTAGACACACCACCCGTCCGTTGCGAACCAACAAGCTCGCCGAAACGGAGGCACGCCGGCGCCTCCGTCTGCAACATCGCGGAATCCCCTTCTAGCCCACGCAGGCTCGGGCTATGTGCAGGCATCTGCGCCCTGCCGGATTTGGAACCACGATCTGCAGATCCCCCCGCTCCCGTCGCCACGCGAGCACTAGGAATCCTCGCCGATGCTCTCGATCCCCATCCGCGTGGGCGCTGAATGCAGCCGCCGCTGCCGGACGCTCCATATGGCCTCGCGCGACGGTGGAGGGGCGCACAGCCCCTGTCTTCGTTGCTTTGCGTCGCCCAAGGTCGCACTAGTGAGGCAGGCGAGTCGCCTTGGGCGAGTCAAGGTTACGGATGATTTGGTACTGGGCGCAGCTATATTTGGTACTGGGAGCAGCCGTTTTTGGTACTGGGGCGATTTGGTACTGGCGGCAGCCGTTTTTGGTGCTGGAAGCAGCCGTTTTTGGTACTGGGGCGGATTTGGTACTGGGAGCATTCACTTTTGGTACTGGCTGAAATTTGGTACTGGAAGCACCCGTTTTTGGTACTGGCTAAATACACCTCCGGTGGCAAAATAGCAACGCCACATCCTCTCCGTCTGTCGGCCTCCAAGCCCGTTCAGGGCGCCAGGGGGTCCACGCCGCGCGACGCGCGACCCTGCGTCATGGCCCTCCGCAGGGCGGCCTCCCGGCTCTTACGGGACGTGAACTCCCTGCTGGCTCTACGCGCCGGCTCGCCGCCCGCCCTGCAGGAAGCCGCCCTCATCGCCGACGACCACGGGTGGGCCCCCGCGCTGCACCGCTTCGCGCCCCACCGCCGCTTACAGACTGCCAGCTGATCGCGCTCTTTCGCCAAGACACGAGCAGGATGGCGCGAGATCTTGGAGGCGTGAGATTCAGATCTCAGGATGCAGGTGGGCATCAAGAAAACGTGCGGGGGAGGGGGGGGGGGCTTTGATCAATGGCCCGCTGTTTTAGGGGTGTGGAAGGGTGTTGGTGAGTTCCCCGTTTTTGAGAATTGGGTCCGCGTGGCGGGCAGTCAAGCAGCGGATGAAGTCCGTGCGTAAAATCCAGAAGATCACGAAGGCCATGAAGATGGTCGCCGCGTCGAAGATGCGGTCGGCGCAGGCCGCAACGGAGAAGTCCCGCGGTATGGTGAAGCCACTCGTGCGGATGCTGGGAGACATGCCTGGTGGGTGAGCGTGTCAGTCGCTGCTGTTGGTCGGATTGCATGGAGTGCGAGCATCATAGGGTGCTGTGTCTTCTCACCGTTCTGGTGGATCACGACATGTCTCCACAACCTCGATTTGGATCACCTGAATGGGGCCAATAGTTTTCCTGTATTCCAAAGTGTATTACATCATATTTCAGTGTCCAGGTACCACTCCCGTCCCAACACAAGACATGCGAGCTTTGTGCCACCTAGCAAGATACTGCAAGGTGATGTAAAGCCGCAAAAGCTGTTCGCATTTAAACAACTGCTTGGTCTCAAAGAAGAGAAGTTCGCCACCCCGGGGTGCCCTGGCAGATCAACAATCGAAGCAGATCGTATTTGTCTGTAAGACAACTATTGTCCACCTGAGCTGAGGGAAGAATCAGTGGCCAGGCGTCATCGTAGGCCAGTGTTGGGGCCTGCCATGGGGTGTGCCACTGGCAGAATCCGCCCTTCGCTAGTGGACTCCCCCCCCCCCCCCACCCCACTGGATTGTTTCCAGAATCAGGATACGGAGAGGGGTTGCACGTTGGCAAGAGGCAGATCAAGTCCGTCATGACTCATGCTACGAATCGCTACGCCTGTCAGGCTGGCAGACTTTGGAAACAGGTTTGGTGAGAGCAGTCCACACAGGAGCAGCGATCGAGAGAGGGGTGGGGAAATACCAGAATGTGCCAATGATTGAGCAGTATCAAACGTTGTATGTGTGCCCCATTCGTTTCCCAGTCGACCAGTGATGAGGAACAGCAAGGCTGGAGCTCTTAGTACCCACTGTTTCATAGTGTGGGCAAGAGGAGCATCGGTCTGAAGCTAACCAAGCCTCTACCAACTTGATTGCACGTACCGACGATGCAAGGAAGCAGAGCTGTGCAGATGGTGCCCACTTTGCCATTGAGTTGATGCACACTTCCGATGTGTCCACAGCAGCACCATTGCTTGAGTGGTCGCTTTTGTGCATGCAGCTGCCTCTGTTGACAAGAACCTGACAATGCCGATTTCGACGGACAAGGGGCTGTGTGGAGGCATCAACAGCACAGTGTCCAAGTATACCTGTGTGCTGCGCAAAATGAATCAAGCGGGTGAGCAATCAAAAAAATGTCCAGCAAATGACGATGTTGGGGCTGCTCTCACTTTTGTTGTACAGAAAAAAAAATGGTTGCCTACAATCGCAGAGTTCACTCAACACAGCAAGGCGATCAGCAGAAGGCTGGCGGATTTAAAGGCTTTGGTTTGTGGAGGACAGTATTATGGCACAACAGAGCTTCTCCACAGTCCGTCGACTGCACTGCAGCTGTGGCCACAGGCTGAGCTATTGCCGCTATGTGAGCTTCAATGTGAAAATCAGTTGGCAAGACATGGCGTTCAGCAGGGTTTGTACCTCCTGTTCCCACTTGTATTGTCAGTAGGCTTTGAACAACATGTTTTGATTTGTTTACAGAATTCCTCCTTTCAGACAGCAGCAAACCAGAAAACCACAAAACCTTTGGCAGAAAGCAAACACTGATACAGAAAAAGGCATTGGTGTGCTTGCTTTTCCATTTTCATTTCGACGCGCCCTTGCTTAGTCTGCCTGCCATTGTTGTACATTGCTTGTCATTTTTGTCTCGCTATTTGTCTTATGCTTTCGGGCTATATATACACTTCGCAAGCTTATGGGCAGGCATCTTTTGGATGGGCACAGTGTGTCGAACAACAGTACCCCCAGTATTAGGTATCAAGATCTCACATCTGCAGGACTGCTTTTGCCTGGACACCTACTGTTATGGTAGACAGTGTTGGTGTCAAGCCTTGTCATTGTAATGGCTACTGGGATGTTGCTGCAGATGGGAGAGACAGTGCATTTATTGTTATGGGTGAGAAAACCAAGGCACAATTTGCGTGCGAGGTGCCAGAGAACATTCAGATGACGTTTGCTGACCTTGCAAAGGTGAAAATTACCTTCTCGCAGCTGAGAGAACCACAGTCAACAGTGCAGGGATACAGTCGAATGTGTTCACTAGCGAACTGCACCACTCCTGCACTGTGCTGATCTTCCTGAGTGCTTTGGGCTTGTGTGGAGCAGCTTTGTAGGCAGCATTGGCTCCTGGGGTTTGTTCTTTTGGTTTTAATTCTCCCAGGAGACTCTGATTATCTGACAATATCGATCTGCATGATTGAGAACTGATGTCACGCCGGACTCCATGCCTCATAGGTGGAGGTTTGTTTCGTGTTGTGAAGGGGTCTTGCCACCCACAAGTCCACTGACTATGAGACAAGTGAATGTGTTTTGTTCATGGTGTGGCGAAACTCTGTTGTCCTGATGCTGCCATTCATGTAACAACACACAGTCACATCAACGACCTTGCAAGAATGGCACCCCCTCTCTGCTGGATGATACCCCGAAGCAGGCTGAGTTGAGAGCGCGATCCTTTTCCATTGCAAATGGTGTGTAGGCCAACACTGGTTGATGGACCACTTGCGAGATCCGATTTGGTGCTTCATAACTTAGCGATCAGATGCAAGCCAGCTAATGAGGGAAGGCTAGGAGATGCCTGTCCGGGCTCGAACGCTTGTCCGTGTTGATGAGAGTTGTGGCGTCAGCAGCTGCAAGCCTCAATGTCCTGGGAGGAAGCTCAAGTGTGGCCAAGAGCACATTGATTTTCATGGTTTGGAACAATCTGGCGAGAATAGTGAATAGGGTTCAACTTGTGACATTCGGCTCCATGTCCAGGTTAGCCAAGTGGCTGACGATGCCCTCAAGACTGACTTCGATGCAGCACGTATTATCTTCAATCGGTTTGCAACTCCATTTCCTTCAAGCCCACGATCGCCACTATCTTGGCACCAGATGTCAGTGAACTAGGAAGGCTACACCTCTACCAGCGTCAGAGAAGGCTTTGCCACATGGATTAATGAGTATTTAATGCATAATGAAACAGAATTTGGCGACCGATCATATATTTGCCTGAAGACGCCTTTGACCACATTTTGTCATTTCTTTATTGCGTCACTGCCAATTTGTTGGCATTTGGTTGCAAGTTTACGATTCTGTGCTTCTTAAAAGGGTTGGCATCTTGTTGCACCCTAGCTCACTAGCGGGCAGTGACTGTGACCCGCAGTTCACTCTCCGTGTTGGTGTTTTTGCACTGGCAGAGCTTGAAGAGGAACCTCGATTCTGGAGAGCTGGACACATACGAAATTGAAGGCCCGGATAGATCCTAGCTCTTGCTGGATCTTTGTGAATTCCAGCTGGCAGTGGTAGGTACTGTGATGGCCATCAACTGCAACTGTATACAATGGAAGGCTATTTTCCAATGGAACCAGCCAATTGTCTAAACCCTGGGTAGTGGTTCAACAGCATAGCTCATCTGTTGGCCAACCATTGCCATTGGAACACTCTCGGTCTATCCTGGTTGTTGTATGCTTTAGGCATATCTGGTGGTGACCTTCCCTTCAGGTAATCACTTTTCGGCAAGAGAGAAGGATCACAAACATTGGGCACCCTTTTCCTGATCAACTAATGTTGCAAGGCTCATGTCCATACTGCAGGACATTGTGCAAAGGTCTCCGAATGCAACAGGAATTGCACAGAGTTGCATGAATGACAAGATGAGAATGCTGTCCTCCATGTTGTAGCCCATGTGCAGAGGTGTGGCCTTGCTAGCCATGGAGTATAGCCAAATGGTGCAGGATACTGTGTTGCACACTCTTGGCAGGCTGAAGTCATATCACAAGGGCAATGCAGCTGTGGCGATGTTTATGCCTATATGCAGTTTGCAACTTCCCTATTTGCCTTTACCAATCTTCCCTCTATTGCATGCTCTCGAACCTGGTTGCAATCGTTGGGCAGACACCCTTCAGCTGCAGCGTTGCATGGGCGGCAAGGAATGATTCGATGCTAACCTTGGCAGTTGTTGGCAAGCACCAGCCATAGAATTGCCATGCATGAGGTGCTCTGAAGATTGGCTTGCATGTGTGCATCGTTGCAATACTTGTGTGGTGCCTCTGCTGAGTTTCTACAATGCTGTCCAAGAGAACAATTGCAGTGAACATGCATCGCGCATGATGGCGATGGAGAACCCAACGAAGAATGCTGCGGAGATGCTGGGGCAGCTCACGCTGATGTACAACAGGTATGGAATTTGCGCCTATGGGCATTGCACCTACAGAATTGAACAGACGTTCCTTGGTTTCCACGTGGAGGACTTGAAGTCAGTCGTGCTCCACATTGTCAATTCATCAGCTGTCAAACTGAACAATTGTGCATTGTGGCAAAGTAATCGTCAGATACCATTTGTGTCCCAAGGATTTTGCTGGTAGTATCGCTTCCATCCTGATGCAATTTCTGCTGATCTCTTGGCGACCTATCGGGTGTTGCTTTTCAATGCATGTTAAGCCAAGAGTTGATGAATACTGTTGAAGGGCTCCAGACGTAAATCCGTGTTGCTAGCCATTATTTGTCAACATGCTGCAAAGCACTTGGATTTCACACCTCTGTGGAGCGATTGTGGTTATGCCTGTAGACCTGGCAGTTAGTTTTCGTAATGTCGCTTCCATGACCCTGTGTTGCTATTCTGTCAACCTGCCACTGCCTCTGGTCCATTGTTGCCCTCTGTATCCTGACTTGTGTTTGTGCCCTGCCTCAGAACAAGCCAAGTCAGCATCACTAGAGAACTCAAAGAGATCATCTCTGGTGCCTCGGCGCTTGAGGGATAGACTCTGCTCTGCTGTGACCACCCCATAAACAGTGAATCCTGCCCCTTCAAGCAATCGGAGCTGCTGTGAAGTGCATCTCGCTATACCATTCACAGTGTCCATCGGAAGAGCAGATTGTGTCCTGTGCAGAGGTGGCAATTGTTTCCCATTGTATGGGTATGCTGAGATAGAGACTGTGTGGACAGCTGTTGGGGGTAGGTACGTTCGTTTACAGGCGCAATTTGTGTTGTGCTTGGTGTGGCTGCATTATGTGGCATTGTAGAAGGTAGTTACATATCTTGCGGTGGTGGACCTAGCGGGGCTGGAGGGAGAACGCGCCCATGGTTGGATGGAATACATTGTCAACAGGAACCTGCCAGGTTCTACTATGCAGCCTTTACGCCTTCCAGGAGCTGAATGGATGTCTTGGGGATTGTGGGGATTCTGCGGTATTGCGATGTGTGATGCAGGTGCCTGTCACAGCCCTCTGGATCAAAGCTTGATACGCAGGTTAGCATGCCTTGTGCAATGTCAGCCATCAGCTAACAGGCTCAGCTCTCACGTGGGGCTCCCACTGCACCCAAATCACTGGCTGCCAAACTATCCATGTCCATATCCATATCTTTATCCATATTTGTAGCAAAAATTGGAGCTCAGGGCACAATAACAATTGTTTGAAGGCTCAGGTCACACTGCATTTCAACCGAATGGCCCATCCCAGTATCCGGCCGCCCACTCTTCTACAGACTGTGAGAGAAGCGGGTGCCTGTTGCTCTCGTGCATTGTAACAACAATTGACACGTACTGTTTCTACAAGGCCCGATTATCGACATCCTTGACAAAGAAACGGTGACGCCTGGTGGTCGCATCTTTTCAGTCGAATGCGCCGCACGAGCAGCACGAACGCAGCCGCTGCCACCCGGCAGCACACGCCAATGTGTAGCACACTGCCTTCCCCACCCCCCACCCCCCACCCCCCCGGGGAACTAAGCCACCGTCTTGCGATGCGCCTCGTTCCATTCCCTCACCTTCGGATTGGCCCCAACCTCTGCCACCACCTTGCAGATCTTCTGGTATGGGTCCACCAGCCCCGGCGGGAAGCCCTCCAGCCCGCCCTGTCCCCCTTTCAGCGTGGTCACCAGACAGTACAGTGCCACGTCAGCGACCGTCATCCCCTCCCCCACCGCCCACCCCCCACCCCCCATCCTCGCCTCGATCATCGAAAACCACCTGGGCAGCGTCTCCGCGGCCAGGGCGGCCCTCCTGGCCTGCACCTCGGGATCCCTGGGGTTCTGGCCGCCGGGGTTGGGCCCCAGCGTGGCGGTCACGTCTTGAATTGCCCACAGGATCTCGTCCACGCGCATCGCGGCGATCGGGTCCTCGGGCATGAGGCCCGCCAGCCTGGCCGCGTAGCGCAGCAGTGCGTTGCCCTGCGACAGCGCCTCGCCGTCCACCTCCAGAACGGGCAGCTGGCAAAAAGCAAACGGACGTCGTCACCGTGGACAACAATCGGCCGACTGCCTCGTCGTGAATTCCTGAACGCTCGGGGTTGCGCTCCGCACTGTATTGAAGCGAGAGGTACTCTTAGATCGCGGTGGGGGACGCGGGCGAAGCGAAGGGGCGCAATGACGAACCTGGCCGAAGGGCAGGGAGGGCTTCAGCGCGGCGAACTCGCGGAAGGACGGCCGCGCGTCCTCGAAGGCCACGCCGCCGATCACCAGCGCCAGGCGGATGGGCTCCCCCCGGCCGGTGAAGTCGAAGTAGGTGAGCTTCAGCCGCGGCGCCATGCCCGCGCAAGCGAGTAATGCAATAATGAATCGCTCGCTTATGGCCGCGACAGGCGGTGATCAAGGGCCTGGGATCGGGAAAGGGGGAGGCGAGGGGGGAGGGGAAGGTGGTTGGCCAGGCGCGCGGTGCGTTTTATGACAAGGAAGCGGCGAAGCGACGGAGGAAGGGCTGGCTGTATTTGCGCTGGGCGTGTGGCGTTGGAAGGTAGGGTGCGCTCTGTGTGGCGATGAAGGGGGGGACGCGTGGAGATAACGTCACGGGATTACTGCATCTTCGCGTGGTGTTCGCGGAAGACGTAACAACAGCAACAGCGCATGACGAAATAATAGCAATCTCGTACAATGCGGTATTT